AAAAATGCTATGGAAGGGATGTAGAAAATGTAGAAGGGAAGGAAACAAGTCTATGACGTAGGAAATGGTGAGGGAAGGCTTGCAGTGCAGAGTGTGGGAACTGTCTTTGGCAATTACATTAATATATCTGCAATCCAAAAATGTTATGGGAAGAGAGGTAAATAGGTCCACGACGTAGGGGGTGGTGAAGGAAGTAGTAAAGGTGAGCGTGTTGAGTGTGGGAATGGATTAATGTATCTGCAAAGCTAAAACGCTTTATGAAGAGACTGTAGACTGTAGGTTAAAATAATTTCGGAGCCCGAATCGATACATATTTCGATACATGCAATCGTTTAAAATAGAAATTTACAACTGAGTTGACAACAGCCGATTTTTACTTCATAGAGGATAAATACTATTTTTACTCCATAGAGGATAAAAACCTTTTTTACTTCCTAAAGAGTAAAATTGCTACTTTAGACCCGCAACGCATGCATTAAAAACGACTGGTATTACTGCAGTATGACCAAAACAATATAATATAAACCCTTGATGACTCCGCTCAATTTTGTGGATGCCTCTGCGAACGCCACCTAGTTTATATACACAGAAAATCAGGTCATGTTTAGAAAGTCCAGGGGCAGAATATTGACCGTGGTGGGCGATTAGGGATGGGTCACTAACAGCTATGATATCCAGCAGTGTGTCAGCAGTCGCAGTGTGATGTGTGGCAAGTAAAGGTAAGATGGTAATGTTGCAGGAGAAAAACAAATTTGTAAGTGTAGTGTGGTCATAAGTAAGTGGTCCCAGTAGGTCAGTGTTAAAATCACCCATCACAATGACATGACTATAGCGAGGCAGCACACCCACCAAATCCTGTTCAAACTCCGCCAAGAACCCAATGTTAGGTGCTCTGTAACAAACACAAATCAAAAAATGTGTTTTGTTAACACAAACATCCAAGAACAAATATTCAGGTCTACCCACTGTTTCTGAGTTAGACTTCAAAAGTACAAAGGAAGGAAAGTGAGACTTACACAGCAACTCCTCCACCACCCTTATGGAGACGATCATTTCTAAAAATGTGGTAGCCAGATAATTCCACACATTTGTCATTTAACGATGGTTTGAGCCAAGTTTCAGAAATTAAAATTATGTCAATTGAGGAATCTTGAAAGATTGTACGAAATTCGTCTATGTGACAAAAAAGAGATTGTGCATTTACATGAGCTGCCTTTAAGAAGTTGGGGAATGGAGACAGAGTTTGCCAGAGAAGCTGAGATAACGGTGGAGATAGAGAAGGACCGAGCAGGGTCGGGGCAGCGTTATCAGTTACTGAACTGATGAGCAGGCCAGAGGCGGCACACGACAATGGCGGACGGGAAGCAGGCGACACACTCGTACAACATTCGCACACACACGCACACACTAGGCCTAGACAATAACATCCTGACAGTTTCCTAGTAAAATAAAAAATTTGCATTCTTGTACGGAAAAACATCAGCACGAATAAATAACAAAATTTTAAAATCCCTCTAAATCAACAAAATACAGGGTGATTGATATAAGTGTGCCAGCCGTTTTATTTGAAAACCATAAGAGATATCAAAAAAAGTTCAACGGTAAGTACCTTTAACTTTTTATTTAAAAAAATTTATTTAAGTCAAAAAATTATTTTAAGCGCCATTTTTCCAATATGGCCGCCAACTTTGATTTTTCTTACTGAACACCCTGTTTTATGATGTATTCTGGTGGAAAATGTAATTTTAAGACGATTTTATTCTTGTGACTTTTTTCATAAACCTAACCGTTTCAAAGATAATAATGGTTTAAGTTGTGAAATTTTGAATGGTTTTCAAATAAAACAGCTGGCATGCTTGCTTAGGCCTTTATTGAAACTCTTTCTCATGCAGAAATTTCAAAACTTTAACCATTATTATCTTTGAAACGGTTAGGTTTATGAAAAAAATTACAAGAATCAAATCGTCTTGAAATTAGATTTTCTAACAGAATACATCATAAAATACAGGGTGTTCCATAAGAAAAATCAAAGTTGGTGGCCATATTGGAAAAATGGCGGCTTAAATAATTTTTTTGACTTTAGTACAATTTTTTTAATAAAAAATCCAAGGCACTTACCATTTAACTTTTTTTGATACCTCTTATAGTTTTCGAATAAAACGGCTGGCACACTTATATCAATCACCCTGTATACACAAGCAACATAAATATAATCAGATAAATGTGGGTATGCATGATAGGCTAAAGTCTAATAAATTTGTAATTTAATTTTCAATTGTATGCTTCTTACAAGGATTTTAATCTCGTTAATTGCCCAATAATATTTGTAGGTACACTTAACAGCTTTGAGACAAAATCAATTAATTTGATTGAGCTTGCAACAATAATAAATGATTAAATTGCTCGGTTAATTAGCATATCAGTTTGATAATAATGTAATACTGTAGTAATAAATTAGGATATAAGATTGTCAATAGTTTATAATTTAACAACAAATTTCCGTAACAAATACAAGTATTGAGTTTAGAACAGTAATTAGTTAAACTGGTCAATTAAATTAGCATATTAGTTTGATGTGATACTAATAATAAAACCTAATATCACTCAAAATCATATTGCTGGTGAAATTATAAAGAAATAAATCTAGTTTGATAAATCTAGTAAAAAATAACAGTGAAATAATGAAAGTTCTAATAAAACACATTGAAGAAATACATATATTTACTCGCCACTTGTGTTGTTAGTTGCTATGACCACCTCAGCCAACCGCGTCGCAACACCTTTTTTGCCGTGACTGTCGATCCACAGCACTCGACCATCCATTGTCCAGGTATTCCCTGTTCTGTACTTCGCCACCGCTGCTTTCAAAATGTCCATCCGTCGCGCCGTCAAATCCTCCCGAACAGTCACGCCAGTCCCCTTTAGCTTCTTTTTCGATGAGTAAATCTTCTGGCGGTGTTTGTAGCCCACGAACCTGACTATGATAGCCCGTGGTCTTCTCTTTCCTTCAGCATTAGTACTGTATCGAATCGAGTATGCATACCTGGTCGCCATGTTGTAATTGGTTTATTGTATAACAACTGCTGTTGCTATTTGTTCATTCTTAACCACTGGACGGGCAACTTTTATGGCCTAGGACGGGCAAAAATTATACAAATAAAAAAAATAATTTACATTATTTGTGTTATTTTATACCTATAAACATCAAATAAACACAATGGAACATCTCATACTAACTAAATAAATTTTTACTTGTTTTTATGCACAAAATAAATTGCGTGGATAAGCAGGAAAACGCGGATATATCCGCCACCCGTCTTTGAAAATATGGCCTGGCCGTGACAAGGATAGGCAATAAATAAAGAACAATATGTTATCACTATTTCATGCTGCTAGACGGACAACAACTGTAGCTTTTAGCTCCCACAAAGTCAACATTGAGGTGGTGGAGGGAGCGTGGGAGAGGGCGGCCGGCGTGTTGCTTTCAAGGTCGCAGCATTTAAGGAGAGCATGGGAAGTAGCCTTCTGGGTACTGCAAAAACACCAGCCAGGCCTTCTGAAGATAAGGCGGATATATCTGTCACCCGTCCGCGAAGGGTTAATATGTTATGCCACAGCAGGGTGTCCACATTCTGGAAATCAGGGATAGTCATAGAAAAATATTCTGGTCATTGAAATAGGCAAAAAGTCATGGTAATCCCCAATGATGGATGGATTTGATGCCTTAACCCTGACTATTGTAGCATTTTTCACAAATGTTTTACAAATCAATTTATTACAGTTGTATTAGTTTATGAGTTTTCAGTCTTTATTAGTTCATTGTTGTACCTATTATACTCCATTGTTATCAGTTAATACATATTTCAGTATTTTCTGCGAAATAGCTTGTCCAGGCAGTATTATTTGTATGTGTATGTTATATTATAATTTTCGAGTAAAGTTTGTGAGTCATGGAAATCAATGGTAAATGGTCATTGAATTTAAATGACAAATTTTCTGTGGACACCCTTTGCCATATATGCAATGACTTAATCACTCGGTCTGGCCCACCTACTCCACACAACTTGGGGTGGTTGGTACCCATGAGAACCTTGTGTAAACTCAACATGCAGGAGGCTAAAAAATAACATTGTAAGAAAAGATGAGTATAAAAATAGATAGTTTTAACTGTCATTTGTTGGCAACCATCTATTCTTATATCTAGCAAGCACTCCATTGAAATAGCAAGAGTTTTCAACGCTTTATTGTACTGTGGTTGTGAATAGAATTCAAACTCATTAACTTATTTATAAGAAAATTGATAACCCAAACCTAACCCTCCTTTCCCTGGATTATAAGTTTTTATTGCACTCATGATGTTATTGTTAAGAATATGATTTTCAAGGTTTTACAATAAAATGTTTACGCATACATTTTAAGATCAATTCACTAATCAAGGTCCTTCCAGGATCTTTTCACTTTAAAAATATAAAAGTATGTAAAATAATCCATTTAACTTAGGTCACACTGTTACTCTTTGTAAACACTGCAAACAACTTTTCAGAGAGCTAAATTCCCAGTTTGTGCTACTAATTTTGCAATCATGGATTGTCCCCATTGATAAAAATTAAAAATACATCAAATATATTTACAGTAGAAACCCGGTTAACTGAAATTGGGTTAACCGAAACGGTTCTATAAATTAATTCAGGGCTAAAATATAAGTACAATAAGTAATACATAAACAGAGAGGGGCTTTTCTATAACCCATTGTAACATTTTTGTAGCTGAAATAAAACACTGTATTACATAGACATTGTTTTTAATTCATTTTTCCTACACTGTGGTAATACATAGGCTATTTTTAGCATTTGATGGGTTAACCGAAAAATTGGTTATCCTTAACAGCTCTCCCCCTTTATTTCGGTTAACCGAGGTTATACTGTAGTTAAAACTGCTTAAATTAATTTCCCAGCAATGAAGGTATGCATATTATGAAACAAGACATCATAATGTAAGAACTTTTATTACATATGAAAATACAAAAATTGTCATACAATGTGTGTTTTTGCTTGAACTTAAAACAACATTACAAATGCTGTGAAGTATCTCATATAATGATGTACCCAACTTAACATTGTCACAATTAAAAAAAATATGTGTCCAAAAGGTGTCGCAATAAGAAAATGAAGTATGTAGAACCAAACAACACAGCTAAAAGAAAAAAGTTGAATTGTAAAGGTTATCTCATCTCCAATACGCTCCAGTAAATGCAACAAAATATGCACAATGTAGGCCTACTTGTATCAATGAGGAGTCTATTATAGAATACATATAATATTAAAGTTAAATGACATATTTTGAATATGTATATAATATTAAACTACCTACAGTATCTAATAACTTTATTGTCAATCAATAAGGCACCATCTACAAGACACTGAAATTTACAAAAAGCACCACTTTATTGAGAATCTCTTATTTGTGCAATATCGTTAGAATCTATCAAATTGGTCAAATTCTATTTTATCCCTAAAAGAAAAATAGTTTTCTCTGTTTGAAGAATTGAGTGAAGGAACATAGACTATAAAATAAATAAATACATAGTGATAGAGTAAGTAAAATGGTTCATTAAAAAAAGCTTTAATGGAATCTTCCTAAATGTTACTGTCTCCTACGGTTAAAGGTTGATTCACAAATATCAGTCCAGTCACAGTTCCGTTACAGTCCACTCACAGTTCCGTTACAGTCCAGTTACAGTTCCGTCACAGTTTAGTATCAGTTGAATCCGCAATTCTTTAGTCAACTTTCCGTCAGTTGGTTTCAGCCAGTCTTCCGTCTCTAATATTTACAGTAGGGATAGACGAGATTGAAATTTTAGTTCGAGACGAGACGAGACGAGATTTTTTATTTCTCATAAAATTTCGAGACGAGATCGAGACGGGATTTCCCTTCTCATACACAACGGGAAATGCACGTTCAAAATTTTTACCTGATTTTGTAACATTGTTAGATGACTGTTTAAATACAAAAATAATGATAATAGGCAAGAATATTTACAATCTTTTATTAATCACGCCTAACTTATTAAAAATGCCTACGATAAGGAAACATAGTGATATCAGTTAGGATAGAGTTCAACTTATCCTAAAATAAAATAAATCATAAAATAAAAGCAATATTAATTTTTATAAAATAGTTACTTGTTTTGACTTTTTATAGTAATAAAACATTCCTCACACTGCTTACACTTAACAAAACTTCTCAAATGTTATTAAAGTAATATTATTAAAATAATTAAAGTAATATTTACATTTATAGAATTAATTAAATAAGAACGCCTTCGCAAAGGAAACGCAACTACAACACGCTCCTGTATTGCGGGTATTGCATTGACTTTCTGCAGGCGTTTTTAATTTTTTTTTTTTTTTTTTTTTTTTTTAATTCTCGTCTCGATAAAAATCTCGGCCAAAAAGAAATCTCGTCTCGTGTAACGAGATTTAAAATTTCCCGAAAATTTCCCGAAATTTCGAGACTTGACCATCCCTAATTTACAGTGATGTTACAGTAAAAAATTTTAAATTAAACCCCTATATTCTATCAAATTTTCATCGTCCATCTGTTTTATATTGTTACAAACAGTACTAAAAATATAAACACAATCATTTAAATAACAATAACACTATTTTTTAACCTCAAACACGTCCGTCAGGCGTCCGAACAATCCAAAAATATCGGTGAAAAGAAATCTGAAATTGACTGACAGACGCCGACAGAGCGACTGACGGACCTGCGCCGGATGAGTGTAGAAAACGTAATAGAAAATCCATTAAAGAATATTTTGGTTGACTGTAACGCTACTGATATATCTGAACTGTGACGTGCCGTAACTGATACGTGTGAATCGACCTTAATAGATGTTACTGAACTAGGACTGCTAGAAAGATTACCTGACAGATCATCAATTCATTTATAAAAATAGACATAAGCACATAATGGAGCTAAGGCGTGGAGGTATTCTCATACAGCCTTGCATTAATATACCATTCATATCAAAATACAATAATTAAGTAGACAAACATTTGACATACAACAAACTGGTAGGAAAAACTCTTGGATAGGTTGATACTGTTGAAAGGAGTTAGGAAGAAGAAACTAGTAATATGGGCTACAAATATACTGTATTAACATGAATAGTGAGTCCACGATGTAGTCACAATTATCATTGTCCACAATTGTTGTCAGCAACTGTAACTTTGTAAGGCCAATGAATCTGACAGTGATAAAGTTGACAGTCAACATAATTCAGAGAGGGTATATGGAAATAAAAAAGACTGCTATGTTGAATTGCTTAGAAGCAATGAAACACATTATGAAAATGACGATAAAGAAGACGGACGCAAAGTTATTATATCCTGTTTAAAAGACAAAAATTGTGTTTTGACTCACACAAATATGCCCTAAATTCGTCATTAAAGTCTGTAAAGAAGTAAAAAAATCTTGAAAGAATTATCCAGACAGCACTTGGAAACATTCTAACAAAGCCGGAAGAAAATTTTAAAGCACAATGCAGAAAGAAAAACAAAACATGGGTGGCTATAATGTGTGTGCCTGAAAAAAACTTAATCTGGACATGTCCCCACAGGAATTTAGGGATGTCCTAGCTTTACGCTATGGGAAAACACCAATAAACCTCCCATAAAAATATGAAGGATGTGAACATGAATTCAATACGAATCAATGTAAATATATGTGTGTCCCACACATCCAATGGGGGTTTTATAGTAAAAAAATAAAATAGGTGACACAATAAACAATTTTTATGATGGACCAAGCTAGGGGAAATAGTGTTCAGTCCTGAGGCCTTAATAGCTGAAGGAATGAGTCATCTAAGTGAACCTGCACTTAAAGCTGATTTATCTTTCAGAGGTGTATAGGAGACTCAGATGGAAGCATTGTTTGATGTTCGTGTCTATAACACATATGCTTCTTCATCTTATGTTTCCATCTCTCATAAACAAGTTAAAAAAAGCAGATGATGACAACAAAATAAAATACACAAAAGCTTGCAAACAGACATGAATTGTTTACTCCACTCTCACCACAAGTGGTGGGATTTTCAGGAATGAATTTCAATTTTTTTAGATTTATGGATGAAAAGTTATCAGAAAAATGGGAAAACCCATAGAGTGTTAATTGGATAAGGTCAAGAACTATTTGTGCTCATGAGCAACAAGCCTGAGACGAACAAGAAAGAAATGGCGGTCAGCGAGGGAATTTGAAGCTCGAGCTGGGATTCCAAAATGGTTATAAATGTCAAAATTATTGTTGAATTATAATTTTACTATGCTTTTTTCTGTCAAATTTCCAACGTAATAAATAATGCCTTCTTCTTAATTTTCATTTAAAAAAAATTGTAATTAGTCCGCTCTATGGCAGTAAAATAAAACTGTCAATATAAACAGAAGAGGATGACCAGAAAGAAGCTTAACATATTGATGTAACTGAGTCCGCTGTTACTTTACATATTGAGAAGAGTTTTACAACTTCCTGCAACTAATAAAAGAAGCTCCACAATAAACTCTAACTATGGAGGTTTGAACATTATGAGAACTATAATATGGTAACCTAATAATATACAACACGTTCATAAAAACTATTATGTAGCCAATCATTTAATAGAATCCTTAATAACTTAAATCAAAATTACCTTAACTACTTAAATGAATTTACTGTTAATTACAAAATTATATCCTACGCTAAAGAAAAGGCCCTTAGAGGGTCTGATTAAAGCTAGTTCCAGTGGGCTTTGTCATGAAAACAATTATAGTTTTACAAGTTGAGAGATCATTTTGTGGGAGTGTCTTAGTCTAAACGAGTGTAGCAGAGCGAGCTTGGGGCGTGGTTTGGTCTTGGTACCAAGACAACATCTCATGGGAGTATGGATCATCTGAATCTGGCCTGCATCCAACCTTATCAGTCCCTGACTCCCTAGGGACAAACCATCCATCAGGTGAGCAATATGTTACAGTTCAATAATAGTTAAAGTAGTAATTGACAAGTTTAGTCTACAAATAGATGGATCTCCATCAGAAACAATAATAATAAGCGACAAGAGCATGATGGAAGTTACTGTGCTAAATCTACTGTATCATTACCACAGTTATAATATTAAGACTATACTCGGATCCCATCATGATGGATAATATTGAATTTTAGAAACACAACAGAAATTAGGCCTATTGAAATTATGTTAAAATGAAATGTTTATTCGTTATTACAAAAACTGTGATTATTCACATATAAACATATTACATGATACCTAATGCTAAATTAATTTAGAAAATCATTTAGGGAGAAAGGACAGTAGGAGCCTAATAGCAGATCATTCCTGTATCAGGTGTTGTATAGATGACACATTTTAAACACAAATTCCTCGTAATTTATTTTTACAAAAGTGCACGGTTGAAGAATATATACTGCATAAATTGTCAGAGCTTAATCTGGATAAAAAGGGGCGGCAAGAAGAACATAGTCTAGTATCAGCTAAAATGTGTATGGATATTTTTGCAAAGTAAAAATACTCTTGGCGATGGGGGAACCATGAGATAATACATAATACAGGAAGTCCTAGACACAAAGTAAGAATGACAAACAGCAAGAGCTGCATAACTTGAAGATTTAAAAACCGCTCTCAGTCCAAACAATGCATTGGCCAGGAAAGTTGTAATTTGAAGTAATTTGAAGTTGATGATCAGACCATTTAAGATTTTGGTTCATATTTACACCCAGAAATTTCTAGAAGATTTTATCATTTTATGGAATCACCTGATTTCTTCAGTTGTGGGATATGGAAATGAAGAAGATGAGTTTTGGAACAATTTAGATGCAGTCCTTTCTGTGAAAATCAAGTTACCCAGGGAGTCTTAATCTTTGGATGCTATGTTATATATTCATGATGACATGTATTCATTGGTGTCAGACAAAGGAAATTGAGATTTAAAAGAATGGTTCAGAGCCAGAACCAGTCGCAGCTAAGTTAAAAAAGTCTTTTAAAAAATTAACTACATGGACAAACACTAGATAGGATTAAAAGTATTGATGGTCGGATCCGGATATCGGACTACCGGATCCGCCGAATCCAAGCTAGAACCGGCACCCGATCGGATCCAAAAAACTCCGGATCTTGGGCTGGATCCGGTTTTGATGGATCCAATTTTTTTTTATGTATCCATGTACAAGACCGATTTCCCCCCCAATTTTTTTACTAACACAAAGCTGTCTGTATCCATGTACAAGACCAATTTTCCCCGTTTTTTTTAATTACACAAAGCTGTCTGTATTGGGGTACAAGACCGATTTTTTTCCCGATTTTTTTACTAACACAAAGCAGTCTGTATCCATGAACAAGACCGATTTTTTTACTAACACAAAGCTGTCTGTATCCATGTACAAGACCGATTTCCCCCGATTTTTTTACTAATACAAAGCTGTGTATCCATGTAAAAGACCAATTTTCCCCCGATTTCTTTACTAACACAAAGATGTCTGTATCCATGTACAATACCGTTTTTGTCCCGATTTTTTTCCAATTTATTTACTTACACAAAGCTGTCTGTATCCATGTACAAGACCGTTTTTGTCCCGATTTTTTTACTAACACAAAGTTGTCTGTATCCATGTACATGACCGTTTTTGTCCCGATTTTTTTACTAACACAAAGCTGTCAGTATCCATGTACAAGACCGATTTTGTCCCAATTTTTCTACTAACACAAAGCTGTCACAAAGCTAATAAGCTGTCAGCCACTGATCTCATTTTACTATCCTTTGATCTTGAGTATGCTATATCGTGGTTTTTGCGTGCAGCATCCAATTTATTTATGCCTGGATCACCCATTGCTTATCTCTTCCTTACATTCGTTCCAGGTCCACAGTATTGATAGCCAGATACGTGAAGTTCTACAGGTAAAATACCCTGTGTCTGTGTACAAGAAGATTATCTGTATACATACAGGGTGAATAAAAAGTCAAGACTCCCCCATCTAATATTTTTCTAAGTTAGAACACGGTATAGTCTTCTTGTACACAGACACAGGGTATTTTACCTGTAGAACTTCACATACCCGGCTATCTTACTGTGGACCTGGAACGAATTTAAGGAAGAGATTAACAAGAGGTGATCCAGGCATAAATAAATTGGATGCTGCATGCAAAAACCACGAAATAGCATACTCAAAGAGCGAACTATAGTAAAATATACACAAATATCCTTTTGGTCGTCGTGCAAACTTAGCACAATGTTTCATTTTATGATTTGGAAAAGTTTTAATGTTCCCAAAAAATTAGGGATTATGGGCTCAACTGGAGATTACTCTATATATAAGATATATTAACCTTTAAACATTACCAATTTAGTTTTAAACAGTATGATTTAAATTGGCATTCTGTTAATTGAGTTTGTTTAAACCCGCCCTTTTTGACAGTGTGTATCTTCAGATCCGGATCCAAATTTTTCAAGATCCGGATCCGGATCCGGTACCGACATTTTCTTGGATCCGCCCATCATTTATTAAAAGCAACAACTGGAACTCATCCTTTTCTCATGTGTGTGTACATAGCCAGGGTCTGCCTGTTAATAAAATGGTAAGACAACAGATAAATAGATAGTTTGATGATGAAACTTACTGAACTGCAAGAGGTTCACAAGTCATGGGCTGCAACGGACGGTACACAGCCTTCTGTTGTGATACCGGAGGAGTGCTGGAGGCATTCTTGCGAAACTTTGTGCTATACTTGTAGAAGTCAGCCATCTCAAAGGGCTTAGTCACTTCTCTGTAAGGTTGCCACATTCCAGCTTGCACCACCGTATGGTTCTTTGGCGATTCAAATGGCACCACCTGAGTAAATTACTATTAGTATAGGCACATAGGACTAGAACAGAGTAATTCAATATTTCAGAATTAAAGCAGTCTTTATTGATATATACTTTATTTATCAAGTTTTATAGCGTGATAATGAATGGTGTGTTATACACAGAAATAAATTGTCACGTTAAGTGCATTGATGCACTGTCACACACAAGTTGTCATTTAAATGAGTAAAATACTGAAAAAAAAGATTTTTTTATAGCATGAATTACCGTGTCAAAAGACAGCTGTTGGGAGACTGGCATGTGTATCTGCTCAGCAGGGTCTCCTTCACTGCCGGACGTGTGTGAGTGAGCTTGGGTGTGGGTGTGGGTGTGAGTATGAGGGTGCGGGTGGGGAGGTGGATGGTAGTGAGGGATGGGAGGAGTTGGAGTAGGTGTAGGCGTGTGAGGAGGTGGCGGTGGCGTAGGTGTAGAATGTACAGGATGAGACGTATCCAATGATGTCTCAAACCAATCCTTTTTTTTAGTCTTGCGAGAACCTTGAGTCAAATGGTGGCTGGTTTCAGGATAGGTCTGGTTCGGCAGAAGAACACTCTGTCGCAACTCTGACTCAAATGTTTCACCACTTCCCCTTCGCCGATCCAGGCTTCCAAATCTGTAAATAACACGATTGTCATCAAATTTGAACAGTAACGCCTAATTTATATACCATCTACGTGTGGTGGTTGTTAAGATTTGATGTACGTAAAATTAACTATTGAAATAATACAACAAATTTTAAGATTGTTGGAACAAAGTCAATGAATATCCCACTCTAAAATTTTTTGGGACAGCCCAGTGTAAAAAATAAGGATTTTATAGGAGATAGAAATATGCTGAGAATTTAAAAATACATAAATTTAAAATCTTTATTTATTTAGCTGACGCATATGTATCAGGGATTTGCAAATAACTCCACAATTATAACTACAAGAGTAAACTACACAACAGTCACATCACAGTGAAACAATTTTCAAGACTGCATAACTCAATATACAGACTCTTGGACAAGGATACTGTGAGTATATGGTTACTTGGTTTTTATATTGAGCCCAAGATTAGCAGGTGCCTCTATCTTGAAAACAATTTTGCATGCAAGAACACCTCACTAGATGACACAAGGAGAGGAGACAGTGTGATGAAGCCCTCCAGCTTACTACCAACCTCATGCCAAGCTGGGAAGCCGGACATAGTAATCATGATAACACTATCAAAATGTTTATTTGTATGTTACGTTTTTATGTTTCTGTTGTGTCTTTTAATAATGTCTTAACAAAGTTGCAAGCTTCAAAAATTTCGCTATCAGAACAAAATGTGTATACAGATTCAACTCAATAATAAATTAGTTTGTTGGACCGTTGGAACGAAATAGGTAAATAAATAATGATGGGATTATTTTATGGAGATAAAGTAAGACCTGTTTTTGTCTGCTTATTAAGATTTACTTATTTTTGCTTTGCTAGAACGGTTCATTTTTCCTGAACTAATTTTTATTTTGCGAAAATAAAATAAATTTTATTTCATGAGATTTCAGTATATTTGGTTTTCAATCTAGACTTATTTGTTACTGTATGGAGTTGTAAATAACACTGTATGTCATAACGGGGTTTCAAATAAAGCAATTTGTTATAGAGGGTGTTTAATATCAAGTTTGGTTTTTTATTTAACATTATCTTTTAAAAGCACATGCAACAAAAATGTGTCACGTTCCACTCATTAGTCATTACCTGTCACGATAACGTACAGACTTCTTCTCCTCATCATCTTCAGGTTTAGAACCGACTCCCAAGTAACGAGAGGTAGGAGCTGTGTTGTACCAATTGTTGTTCTCTTTGTATCTATTACCTGCAGCAAAAAAATCACTTTTTGTAATTTTATCTTCATTATGAAATAAATGAAGAATTCATAAAGGTTGTCACTGTCTATGCCTAGTGTCCAACCAAGAAAAGTTGAAATGATCTGAGAGTGTTAGCTAAACCTTTAGAGAATAACTAGTTTTATGATATAACATATAAATGAGTGTAAGCAACATTTTTTCCCCAATCAAAACTTAAATACTACAAAAATAAAAACAAAACTAACCTTGAAGATCGTGTGGTACTCTATGAGTTCTTTCAAATTCTCTGGGTTGAGACGATGGCTGATAGCCCCAGCTTTGCTGATAGGCAACTTCTGATTGTATTTGTCTGTAATCATAGGAGTTCAAAGCTATATCAAGCAAATTGACACAAAATATACCAGTTAGAAACAGACTCTAGATTTATGGTTGAGATTATTTTTCTTTAAATTAAATTGATGCATCACAGGTTGACCTTACATAATTTTGAGTGTAGGTTATATAATTTAGAACACTTTACTTCACAACACCCAAGCCAACAATTAATTTAGTAGGCCTATTTAAGAGTCAATAAACTTAATTAAATCGTCTTAGTCTATTGTAAAAAGTTTTATTTTTTAATAATGCCTAAACTGATTTAACCTAACCCTCGAGGCTTGCTGAGTTCTGCTCATCACATTAAGATTTTTTCCAAAAAAAAAAGCAGCTTAATTAGCGTCTTCAGTCGTTTCTGCCTCCCTATTTGACAGGCCAATTTCCTGGATTTTCCCAGAACAATTTTTACACCCACCCTTCCCCTAGGTTTAATCTGAGATGTGAGTTAGTGAGTGCGGATGCGCCCTATCTTAGTTTATGTTTTATTTATTAAGAATTAATCAACATATATCGCATAGCATTTTTCGATCATAAAATTTGTTTTTTAGAGAATTTACAAATCCTCTAAAATATAATTATCCTGTAACATGATTATTTTAGTAGCATATTTCTTTTTTTATTTATATTTGCTTCATTGCAAAAAAATATCTTTGCATGCACCTTTTCAAGTAACACCAACCTTAAAAACAACTAAACTATTTTAAAAAACCATTATGGTTTTCAAAATAAATTAGTCAACTCAAAAATACAATAGCCAATGTTGTACAGTTAGTCAGTTGTTGTATAATTAAAGATTTTTAATAAATTGGTTCCTTATGATGATTAGGATTTAACTACAAAATTACGCGAAAATTGAATAAACTTGTATGATTATGTGATGCGGCGCCCTATCACCTTTTAAAGGTTAAGCGAGGGTTAGCAGTCAAAGACTACACAATAACATGGAATTATAAGTGGAATCGTCAAAGCTTGTGGGTTAGTTGTGGTAGACAGATGTTTTACCTGTGTGTGTTGCGGTAGGGCATGCCTGAGGTGGGCTCCCTCACACTGTTGTATCTTGATGATCCCACATGAGTCACCACCTGATGGTTCTGGTGGTACAACTTGTCTTGTACTGGAGACAGACTGACGCCGTTAACATTGTCACCAACAAGGCCTCCCCCTCCCCCTCCATCTACTTGATCTGCAAACAAAGTTTTAAATGACAAAATTAAAAAGAATGTTTGCTAAATCAATTTGTATGTTTGCTTTAAATAAACTTTTAGCACTTAAGCTTAGCTCTGTCCACACGAATCAAGTTGGAAAGCTAATACGAACAATTCTCCAATATATATCTAAAACCTGGACTTTAGACGGAGAAAGAAGAGCAAGTAACATTTAAAAATAAAGCATGACTCAGGAAAATCTTTGGACCTTCAAAAGAAAATGGAAAAAGGAGAATCAAGCTTAATTGGGAACTAAACTAAAGAACCTGTTTTCAATCATCAGGTATGGTAGCTGGAAAAAGCCAATTAGGGCCTATATCTTATAGTAGGTGATAAAATTATTAACTTTGGTATTTTCTTATTCCATAAAAATTTCACGCCACAAAGGCCTTAATCTTTTTGTGTTGTGTCCGTGTCTTGCATTGCATGTATTATTTACTAAAAATTAAAGCAATAAAATGAAGAAACCACGTAAAAACTTAAAATTACCGTATGTAAATAGTTAAGTTTAGTGTATGATGACTACGCACCCAACGACAGAGTTATCTCCTAAATGCCTGTAGTGCTAAAACAATCAGGATTGCGAACACTGTAAGTAGTCTTTATATATTTATTATACGCAATCCCAGGTCAATAATTCTCTTACTGCTTCAATGTAAATGGTGTTTAAACTGTATTAAAGCATGTAAATAAAATAAAATCTGCCACACTAAATAATCCTAAATTTAAAGTTTTTCTAAATATCCTAGTTTCTTAGATACCTACAAGTCAAACACCCTTAGGTCACTCAGTTAAGTAGTTCACCCTGTGTTGAGTGTGTTAGTTATTTACTATTTCTTGCTATTTTACAAACTTTAAAAATTGTACGACCAAATAGAACAATTAATTTCTAAACTATTACCTGTCCTCAGGTATCATTACCAATAATCAAAACACACTCACACGAGCATGAAACACACACCAAATCAAGATTCACATTTTACAACACAATAGGACTTGTACTTTCAGAATCCAAAGTCAATGACAATACCTGACTCCAAAGGAGGCCTTGGCTTTTTTCTTTGCTTCAGTGGGCAGCGGGACGCCTGCCTTAGCTGGGATTCAAGTTCCAATAACCGTCTTTGACTCTGTTGATACACAATTCTATGTTTGCGTCTTGCTGCCTTGCTGACTGTCCCATCATTGGCCAAACTTCTTGCTGCTTCTGCGATTCCTGTTTGAATGTTATACTCTAGCTCCAATGTAGCTAGAGATTCCTCCTAGAATTAGATTAAAGATGTAAGTAGTTTCAAAGTTTAGAATTGGCAGAAAAGTTTTGGGTGTAAAGTAAATTTGGTACAAAGAAGCTTTTATGATGTAAAATTAGGTTTTGTTCAACAAAACTTATTAGTTATTTATTAAGCTAGGGGAAAATGCTTTATATTGGAATGTGTTGAATCTGAAGAAGTAGGCCTAGGCCCTTCCGACATAAAAACAATAAATAACTTAACTTAATTGTAGGAGTTTGCTGTAGAAATAAATTAGGCAAATTATAACACAAAGAGGGCTCTTTAAACTCAACTTAGTTTATATTAGGGTGTCTACTCAAACTAAAACTGAAAGTCACCGTTTATTTGAGGTTTATAATGGCATAAAGGGTATTTTTTGTCATGTTGGTATGAGACAGGGGGCTTAGGTCTCAGAGACAAATGAAACTGTGTAATGAAGCCAAAGCAATGTCCCAGCGTCTTGTTGAAAGCCGCAAACATGATCAGATGCGATTCCGATTACAAACCAAGTCAAAATATATAAACAAAAAAGTTTAAAATTAACCATGGCTGTTGATTAAATTATTGACGGACTAATTGTGACAAGTTCAATTTACTATTTTTTGTAAAAAAAAATAGTAACTATAAAATAATTTCAAATTATCTGAATATTTAGAAGAAGGGGTGTGTTGATGGAACAGATCATCATAATATTGCAACGATTGCGATAGTTTTTTTAAGGAGGTTGCAGCCTATTTAACCTTGCATTTGCCCAAATAGGCCATCCAAATAGGCCTGGTGCTTATGCAAGAGGCTAGCAAGGCATGAGGTGAGGTAATACAGTACACAACTTGAACTTTCTTTTAGTGGCAGGGACCCACGACATTGCTGCCATCTTGGATTAAAAGTCCATCCGTCCCACTACCGACTCATCCTACACTTACCAAACCATATTATATCATCCTGACCATCTGGAATACCTAAGTTAACACAGGATTAACTAAAGTATGGAAACTGTAGGACCTACTTAGTACTAAAATTTTTGTTATAAACAGGCTTACTTCTTTAGACTTGAGTTTATTAATTAGGTTCTCAGGATAGGTAAATGAGGTTCCCACACGTCGTCGGAACACCGGAGGACTCTCGCCAGCCTCTAGAGGTGTTTCCAGGGGAAGTACCCCTGTCAGCTCTGCCTCCTGGATACATAGTGCCTTCAGCTCTTCATTCTTCTCTTTGATTTTTGCTTCTAGTGAGTCTTTGCGAGATTGCAGACTTGCCACCATATCGACTTTAGTTTGTGGGCTTTCATATTCTGAAAACAGAGTAGAGGCTAGGTAACTTACTTCTTGCTATACATGAGTTTAGGTGAAGAGCTATAAGGAGGACAATTAGACTGTCGTCTGGACCAGAAACCAATTGATTAACTGATTAATTTGTTTCTCAATAAGTGATAACCATTTTTATATAAAAAGAAAACCAATCACACAAAGATTCAAGATTCTAATAAGGTTTGGCTTTTTGTTCATTAATGTTTCTATTAGGATTCATAAGAAAGATTTTTTTTATATAAGCAGGGAAATAAGCTAGGCAACAGATATTGTCGGCCATAACACAGGTATTTGCCAGGTTGGCCCATGTCTATGAAGGTAAAGTCCAGAAAATAACTAACTCTAAATTATTTCAAGAAATAGACTTGGTGTAGAGGCTACAGTTGTAAATTTTAAGATGATTGTAGATCTCTTTTAAATGAAATTGCATTTTAATTGCAATTTCAAATTGCATTTTAATTGCAATTTCAAATTGCATTCCAACCATCGATTTAAAAACATTAGGTAATCCAAAACGGCCTCGTCCCCTTTAATTTCGATAATTTAGAAATTTACAGTAGATCACAAATTTCATAAATAGACATACGAGGTGTGCTATAAAATAAAGAGTCTGTTTTTTAAAAGCATACTGGCTTGATTGACGCCTAGTTTAGCCACAGCCTTAGTTTGTATTGGATCGTGTATTTTTAACTAGGTAGGCCTACTCTAAAAAATCGTAGGCATTGTAACTAAGCAACATGCCAACAAACATTTTGTTATAATAAAGCTAGTAACATTAACCAACAACTGTTAAAACACTTAAGAAAAAACCAAGTTTAGGGTATATATTTCTTGGATGTTTTTAAGGTGTCAGAATAAATTTCAATTTGTGAGTCCTTTTGTTTGTGTCTGAAGATTTAAACACCATTTAGAACACAGTTTTCTCACGTTGAAATGTCTGTGTAATATTTGTTGAACTGTTTCTTAGTCGATTCCTACAGTCCAAGCAACTGTACGGATACTCAAATGATGATTTTGTCGGATGGGATTGCCTATTTTTTTCAATTTTATCATCAGTTTTTTTTTAAGTTGAAGAACGTCCTTAAAATGGGTCATCTTCAACATCTTCTCTCCCTTCTTTGAAACGTTAATACCACTCACAAATCTGTGTACTGACATCCACTTTTTGCAAGATAGAATAGGCCTCTGTTGCAGACTAACCGAGCTTTAAAAAATTTTCTATGTAAAAATTGTACAAATTCCATTTTCCTACATGTGGCAAATACCACACAATCTGACACAAACGAAGACGTAGGCTAACCCAACTAACTAGGCCAAATGTCATAGAACCGGCCAACACATGGTACGGGAAGTCAGGCGACAAGGCAATATGGTGATTGGCCTTGAGGCTCACGCCATTTGTCTCTTAGAAGAACAGTCTGGTAATTGTATAGCCATTGCTCCTATGTTAAAAATTATGACGGTATAGCAACAAGATTAAGGTATTTTATAGCATTTTTGTGATTTATAATAACTAATCTTCAAAAATGTTCAGCAAGTACCTGGTGTCCCATAAAGCTTGAGAGTAGGCCTACAATAATCATCATAATATTAGTGAGAGTCTACTCTTCTACTGTACCAAACTAGCCAGCTGATATTCCTCAACAGCAGGTGGAATACTTTTCAAACATATTAGATGTTCAGTGTTACATGTTTATCAACCCTAACTTACAAAATTACCTATATAGTTACGCTACGGTACTTAAAGTCACTAGCCCTTTCAGTGCTATGGCACGATATATCGTTGTTCGCGTTTCATCCGAAAAGCGCTAAGCGATGATACATCGTGCCGGCGCAACTTTCGATCATGTGAGTTTAAATGAGCATATTGGTTAACTTGGTTGTAGTTTCGAAACAGCGATGGTTTCTTTCTATTCCTCATACGTTCGAGGCCCCATATATCGTTTCTTAGCACTTGAGATGAAAAATTTTATTTTTACTGATTTTTTTTCTCGCACACTAGACTTTGCCCCGTGGCAAGCCTAGCACTTTTCGGACGAAATAAGTAAATAACTCTAGCACTTTTCGGAAAATTACAAAAAAATATTCTAGAATCGAAAAGGTTAAAGCTATGATTCAGTAACGTTTAGGCTAGAAGTATATTTTTTCATTGTTTCTTAAAAAAATGTTGTTTATAACCAAAAATATTACTAATTTAGCTTTTTCACTAATTGCAACTAAGAAGTAAAATAATTATACACTCGAACAGAATGCCAAGAAATCTACTAAAAGCAATAAAATAACTAAGGTTCCACACTTATAACTCTTCATGGAGAACAGTAGTTACCTATCTTACAAGCTCAATTTGATAATAAACTTAATCATTAAGCTATAAGTTGTTCTGATTCTAAAATATTAACAGTATGGCCTGAAAAGCTAGGAACAAGATTAAACTAATGTTCAGTAGGCCTATAACCTATATTAACTGACATGGTTGTTGCCTAAACAGCAACGGATAAATATTATAAGAATAGTAGAAATTCTATTATAAATGTAAATTATGAGAAGTAAAATTATAAAATGATTAAAAATTCAATTTTGATTAAAAAACTCTTAGAATGCCGTAATTGTAACAATGAGTGAATGAATGAATGAAATAATATGTTTATTTTCCACATAATATACAGAATACAAAATACATACTCCTTAACGTTACAATTACAAAATATAAACCAAAACTAAAATAAAAAGAAAAATTTCTGTACTAACATAATAGATTTTTTTGTTTTGAAAAATAGGAGGAATATTAGTGGAATAAGGAATAATATTAGTGTGTAGCATTTTAGGTTACTTTGAATATAGGCTAAATCTCCAACAAGCATTAACAGTACAGTAATAGTCAGTTTATTAATGTTTTACTGTTTTATAAGGAATAATAATTGCACCATAACAATTTTTAAATAGCTCTAAGGGTCAACTAAGTCCTAAACGATTAGTAATAAATATTAGTTTTAAGAACCAGTACTTTCAATTTCACTGATTAATGTGTCTCATTTAAACACGTTCTAATTAGCTATAAAAGTACTGATAGAAATTTCCATACCAAAGTGGAAATTTTTGATATCAGCTACCTCCAAAAGAAACCCTGTGCTTTTACTCTAGTTTAAAACTGGTGAAACATATACACCACAAAAGTATAACTATTGCACCAACTGATAACTAAGCTTAACCAAAATCCAAACTTCTATTGGTTGTAGCAATAGATAGTTAAAATGGAGTCTAATATCAAGGTTTTGTCTTTTTTTTATCAAATGGTCTTTCTTTACCGTATATTATTTTGTAGCATACTCTGAATCCAAATGTGCACTTCATTTTTGTTGTAAAACCCCTTTAGTGTCCAAAAACAGGTAGATCTTACAGTTTCTGCAGAGAAACTTCAATAGGTTACTTTCAAATGAAATATTAGTTCAAACTTTGTATCGTATATGATATGGGGTTCTGTAATATAATATTGATTGTATTTATTGAATTTGTAAACTTTAAGCCACAGGGAGTGTTCAAAAAATATTTTTCACATTATACTGTGGCGATTAGGTTTCTCCTAGTTAAGTTCAGTTCTGCTTAGTTTATGATTATAACAAACATGGTAGGCCCAACATTTTTAAACATAGTTGGTAGGCCTATTTTGTTTGATTTGTTAACCCTTAGTCGGTGTTGATATATGTATATAGTGAAGTCCATGTTTAGAGGTATTACTCTTTGGTCTTTGTGTATTCTCTTTTAAGTGTATTTGATTTCCAATTCAGAATAAAATATGTCGGCTCATTAACTGCAGCCTAAATGTATTTCTGTCGATGTTAAATACAATTTATAATAAATAGTATTGAAACTTCAATTGTGTTTTTATTTAAAACATGAAACATGGTGTCTTATAAGTGGGATACAAATAAATTCAAGTGCGTGAGTAATAAATTAACATAAAAATGTGTTATAACAATGAGTGAGTCGGAAGATGAAAACGTGCTTCAACAAACTGAACTAAGGACTGTGTCTAGAAAAACTGAAAATTTCACAATGGTTCCATGCAATCTTCAGAATTTTAATTTCGAGGGCAATTTAGCCGAAAATTGGAAGCACTGGTATCAGAAATTTGAGATTTATCTCTTGGCTTCTAACCTAAATTCTGAAAATGACGCTAGGAAGGTTGCTCTACTACTACATAATTTGGGTGACAAATGCATAGACATTTTCAATTCGTTCAACCTCTCATCCGAAGATGCAAAAAAGTACGACGTGGTGGTAAGTAAATTTGAAAACCATTTCTCGCCTAAGAAAAACCTCACGGTTCTGAGACATAAATTTCTAAATAGGAAACAGCTGCCATCTGAATCCATCGATAGTTTCTATACAGACTTAGTTAACTTGAGCCTCGCTTGTGAATTTGACTCTGTCCGCGAAAGTCTTGTTTGCGATGTCTTAATATCAGGGCTTAACTCTCAAAACCAGAATGTCAGGGAACGATTATTGAGAGAGCCGGAGATTAACTTGGAGAAGACTTTAGCAATCTGTAAAGCTGCTGAACTGTCTAAACAACACATCAGAGAACTTGAAGCAGAACATAATGTCCATACAGTAAACGTCCATAAGCAACGAGAGAGGGGTTACCAACAACCACAAACGTTCAGACAGAAACAGGTTCATCAGGACCAACGGAACAAATTTCATCCACCGTCACAGCAGAAATCAACTGGGACAGGTAGGCCTAACAAAAGTACAAGTGCTAAGAAGTTTATTTCAAACTGCCGTAATTGTGGGAAAAATCACGGTATTAACAAGTGCTCTGCGTATGGCTTAGTGTGCTATAAGTGCGGTAAAAACAACCACTTTGCCAGTGTATGCAAATCAGCCAAAAAGGTTTGTGAAGTAGGCCTAAGTTTAGATTCTAATTCGAGTGATGTAGCTATAAGGCAAGGTAGGCAAGACAGTTCTTCTAAAAGTACTTGTG